TGTTGAAATTGTTCCAGGAATCAAGGGAGAGCTTTAGGCGAGAGCAGTGGAGTGGGAGAACTCAAAAATGATATATTTGATACATTATAAGAATCTTTGTAAATGCTACAATGTACCCAAACCCAGCACAATAAAAAATAAGTAAAAAAAAAATTTACATTTGAGTATATTCTTAACATATTGAGTCTAGCTATATATTGAAATGTTCTATTTTTGTCACTACTTTCCTAACACATTAGTCATGATAATTTTAAAGACTGTGGGTGGGGGGAGCAGCATCAAGTTCAACTGTAGACATATGTTACTACTTTTCAATTTTATACACTTGGTTGATTTCAGTATCTGATTATTAAATTGAGCCCTAGGATTCATATTTTATTTTTTAATAATATAGCTTATAGGAGTATGCAATGATCCAGCAATACCACTCTTGGTGATATACCCAAAGGAATGCGACTCAGGTTACTCCATAGGCACCTGCACACCCATTTTTATTGCAGCATTTTCCACAATAGCCAAGCTATGGAAACAGCCAAGATGCCCCATTACTGACAAATGGATTAAGAAAATGTGGCATTTATAAACAATGGAATTTTATTCAGCCACAAGGAAGAATGAAATTTTGTCATTCGCAAGTAAATGGATGGAATTGGAGAACATCATCTTAAGCGAAGTTAGCCAGGCTCAGAAGGCCAAAAATCGCATGTTCTCTCATATTTGGATTATAGATCTGAAACAAATGCAGTAATATTATTGGACATGGGTCACACACTAAGGGGAGAACATGCATGGTAGGAATAGGTAAAGGGAAACCTAAATCTTGAATGTGGTTGATGTGCCCACTGTAAAGGAGTGAATATAGTAATCTTAAACTGACAGAGGCCACTGTGGGAAGGGGACTAGGAAGTAGTGAAGGGGTCTGGTAGAGATGAACCAATGTGGGTTGCAATACACAAGTGCATGGAAGCAATGCTAGGAATCTCTCTGCATAGCTATCTTTATCTTACACTACCAAAACTGCTATGGCTTTCTTATTTCTAAGGTGTTATCTTCAACAAAATTGGAGAACAAAAGGGCAGAACAGGTTGTGCCTGAAAGTGGGGGGCAAGATGCCCCCCCACATGTGAGTAACTATAAAAACAACAAAATTAAAAATTCAAAAAAATTAACTCAGAAACAGAAAGTTGTACAAAATATCAGCTTTTGCTGGGAGTGTAAGTCAATGTTAGAATGTTTGCTTCATATGCGTTAGTCCATGAATTTTATCCCCATTACTTTACCAATAAACAAATTAATAAATAAAAAGTGAATAAATGCTTGGCTTACTTATTCCAAGATCTTGGCTCCTTAAGCCCTCATAGGTTTGATATCTTTAAATTCCAATACTTATTGCTCTTTGAAATAAGAAAAAGCAGTAAAGACTAATGGGCTTGCCATTTATCTCGATTCATTGCTCTTTTTCCCAAGATCATAGCCTATTAAGTCCTGGCTGTCTTACCTTCTTCTTACTACCTTCAAATTGCTATTTATTTCTTCTTATTGACTTACATAACCTTTTCTTTGTTCTTGATCAAAGAATGGTCTTATTGAATGTACTCCATTATACTCAGAATTAGAGACTCCTCAGACTTTTATCTCTTCTCATCCACCATTCTGGTAAAGCATTTGTACAAGAATCTAGAAGCTATAGGCATATCTATCTTATATAACCCCTGGTGTAGCTTGAGCAATCTAATTTCTTTGAATTTAAGTATGAGGACTCTGTTTGGAATGTCCAGGTCCCAGTCTTATTACTGTTGCAGGCTCTGTCTGAAGCAGAATGCATTTCTGCAGGAGGCAGAATATTTATTGTCTCCCTTAGAATTTTGTACCTTTCTTTGCCCATATCTTCAGAAAATAAAAGGACTGTCGTCATGGTTTTTATTATATATGGAAATTTTATGTTGTATCTGTTCACTGTGTCTCCCTAGGTTCGTTGTAAAGCACAGGTTTTCTTCTGAGTTGGCAGTACCTTGTTCCATTGTGGTGGTATGTCTCAGAAAATTAGCTGCTGTTGACAACAACTGAGTCTTTTAAGTACTAGCTATCTTGCACTTGAGCTTCAAAAGCTGAGCAATTATATATGGGTGATAGCAACAATTCATTTAATTTTACTGAACATGACTCTTTTTTTTTAAACCAATAGGATAAGACCTCAAAGATGTAACAAAAATCATCCTGTTTTCTTTACCCTAGACTGATTTGTAACAAGGAAGTGTCTGTCTTTTCTAGAGCTTGGTTTATGTTTAGTAGTTGAGATGTATTAGGTTGTCATCACATTTCTAAAGATATATGTCAAGCAAAATTCCCATCTTCATACCTATTGTTAAGAATTATCAAATATATAAACTAATATGTTCATGAGGCAAGGACAAATAAAGCACTAATCCAAATGTTCTTTTCTTTAAAACAGCAACATATCCTTTTTCATTTTATAAATCACGTGCTATTGTATAAATATATTTCCAAGCAAAATTTATGCCCTTATTTTAATGCTTTGTAGGAATCTTCTTGACCTAAACAATAAATGACTAGAGATCAGTGTTGACTGTTTCACAGCAACAAATTAAATGTCAGTACACTCTTGAGATTTTTTCTTACTTTAGAAACCTACTTATTAAGGTCAAGGTTAATTAACACTTCAGGTAATAACAGAGACCCCTGGTCACAGTTAAGAGTTATTCCTGTAAATGTCATCAAATTGTTACAGGAAAAAGGAGCTACTTATGATCTCACTAACAACTACTTTTAATATGGAGTTGTTTGAATATAATCACAGTGAATCATGGAATTTTTTCTCATGACTATAAATAACAATTGCCAAATACTAATATAACATTTGATGTTAGGCCAGATAGTTAACTCTTCTCTTCTAGATATACTTATATGTGAAACATTTCCTATAGTGAGACCAGGCATAATAAAATTTATTTGGAAAAAATATTTCACAAAGAAAACTAGAAAGTGGTATCCTATGGGTAGAATTGATTTGTCAACTAAAACACAATGTCAGGTCAAATACACATTTCCTTCTGAGGTCTATCTTTGGTCCATTCATCCCCAAATTTCTATTCAACTGAAGAACAATGCACTAAAAACAACATGCAATTTCCCATAGGACCACAATGAAGTAAAATCAAGCAACTCCATTTTTTATTACACTTTCTTCTAAATAATGAGTCAAATGGAGTGTTACAAGAAATCCATTGTGTGTTTATCTATACTCTGATGAACCACATAAAGGAAAATGTTTTTAACTAATCATGTTCATATGCATTCAAGCACAGCCTATTAGAAGTAATACACTAAGAAATGCCAAATATAAAATATATTATCACAAATTATATTATCACAAATGAAGATTATGGAAGACTAAGATAGATGATCTTAAAGAGTAAAAAGGTCTTTGATATTGAGTAATAAGAGTAACAGGTAATATGTAAGATTTTCTTATCCAAAGTAAGCCTAGAAGGTAAAGATGACAACAAAGACTCATAGTTAACTTTGAATAATTAATGTCATATTGAGAACTCACTGACATTCATAAAATGCTTCTATGAAGCAATTCTTGGATAATAGGAAAGAAAATAGAGCTGGTAAGTAATCTAATGTCCAAATTTTTCTACAAAAATTTTTAGTTATATTTTCCCCAATAAGCCATTTATTTCCTTTAAACAACATAAGTGATTTTTTTACCAAAAACAAAGGCCTGAAGATACTTATTTCTTATCACCAATAATTTATTTTTATTCAACAATAATAATGAAGATCCAATGGTCTCTAACAGGACAGAATCTAGCATACTCCTCTTTTTAAACCATTATTTCCTCTGTATTTTAAGGTAATTCTCAACACATAGTTGGTTTTAGTGTATTCCCCAAAGTTTCATGTGTTAGAACTGTAGCCCTAGGTATCATGGTATTGGTGTGAAACATTTAAGAGGTTGGGGCTGGTGGGAATTCTTTAGGTTAACTATGCATACTGCCCTTGGAATAGATTGAAGTGGTTTTCTTAGGCCCCTTAGTAGTGTTCTAAAGAAGGTTCTTATAAAAGCCTGAGACTGGTCCTACCCAGCTCTCTGGCTTCCTGTCTGGCAATGTGACTATTTGGTACCACATGTGCTTCCACCACTGTCATCCACCATGAGGTAACACAGACAAGTGGGACCTCCCAAGAACCTGTGTCATACTGCTTGGACTTTCAGTCTCCCAAACTGAGAGGCTGAAAATATAAATATCTTTCCTTTATAAAGTTAGTCTGTCCTGGGTGTTTTACATAGCAACACAGAATCGACTAATTCAAATATTAATTATAAAACACAGCACTTTTAATAAATCTGCACCATGGAGTGTCTTTTCTTATTATTCAAATCAAACATTTTTATATACAAAGTAGTTGCAGCAATTAGTAATACTCCTAAAACCATTTTAAGCTAAAATTATTCACAGACTATTCTAGTTTATAGCGGAAAATCCTTCCTTAATTTCTCTATAAAATTCTAACATAATTTCTACAACTATATTACAAAAATAAAATTTTGGGTCACTGAAATAAAATTCAAATGACATACAGCAAAGATCAAATGCTATAAACATTAAATACCACATTTCTCTGAATTATAGTGAGAATATTCCATTAAAAGTTTGGCAAAAATATTTATATGGAAACATTTTAGTACAAGAAGAATGTATAATTAGTAGGTTCAGAGACATGATCTCCATTCCAAAAATCAAGAATATGTCCCAAATAGGGTTTTTATCCAATAATGCGACAATACTCTTTTCTGTATTATAGCTAAGGAAAAAAAAAAACAATGTCACATGATATGTATAATATGTATATATACACACACATATATATATATGTGTGTGTGTATTATATATACACATATAATCTTAGGTTTACAAAAGTGAAACTAAAAAAATCCCAGAGACATTTGGTGTGAAAGAAAGACATGTTACCTTTTATTTCATGTTGACTTGCTTCTCGCCTTCTTTCTAATTCTTTTCTGTCATAGTTCAACCTCTTTAAGCACATAATTCCATACTGTAAACTTGTTCTGTTATTTTTGTAAAAGAAGAAAATGCAATAAATTTACTCAGAAGGTGAAGAATGTCCTTTGAGCAAGCATACTTAAATCTAGGTATTATGCACTACTTCTCAGAAGACCAGGTTAATAAATTACAATTGAATTAAATCCTTTAGTATTGGAATGAAACCAATTTATAATTATTCTAAGCACACAGTGTTTCTAAAAAGTAGAAAAAAACTATTTGAAAAAATAAGAAATACATTGTTTGAAAATATTCAGAGATAGTTATTTATCCATATATCTTTGATTTCCTTTCAGCTATTTCTACATTGTGTGCTAATATCTTACCCATTAAAAAAAGAACTAACGTCCTTTTACAGACAGGAATTTATAGAAAATAGATACTCTCTTCTTAAACTGATGAGAAAAATCACATAATAATATGAGTATGTTAAATAATAACAGTATCAAACACCAAAACTGATAATCCAACACTTGACAGTGAAATTCAAAAAAAGAGCATATATTGAAACTGTGTGTGGAAAGGATATTGTGGAAGAGGACAATGGGAATGATCTATAAAGCATCAGGTAGCAAAAAAGGGGTTACTGAGGAAAGTGGAACATCAGGATCATAGTATTGCATAAGAAAATTTAAAGGTGTGGTGATATTGAAGTACACTGTCCAGAGTTGAAATACAGGCTGTGATGTAAAGAGGAACAGTTACATATGGCGAATAGGGTGTAGTAAGGAAAGTCTTGCATTTTGTGTGTGAAGTTTATTCATGTGAATGGGAATTACTGAACAATTTTCAGAGGAGAAAGGATTGACAATAAAATCATTTTTGTTGTTATTCAGGGAAAAATGATTTCATAGTAAAATGGGGCCCAGGGAAATAAGTAATCCTAGGAGAGAGGAAAACCAATTAAGGGGTCACGGCTGTGAGTATGGAAAGAAAATACAGAGATCAGAGATGTATAGAGAAAGGAATGAGAGAATTGAGTGACATTAGATATATATAGTCCATGGCAGTATGGGATAGGAACAAAAAGCTTCTTTAGGTTTAAGAGTATAGATCATTGACTATCGTTGATTTCTTGTGTTTAGCAACGTACATAAATGTAAATGTGTACACTGGCCAGGCTATACTCAAATGTTGCATACATTTCTAAGCCCTGCATTTAAAAAGTACAATATTGGCTAAAGTGCTTCAGAATCAGAGAAAGAAGGAAAGAAATCTGCACTTAGTAGATATGGTGAGTTATATTCTTCCCAAATTCACACATTGAAACTGGGTTACAAGTTGTAATCCCCAGTAGTTCAGAACATGACTGTATTTACAAACAGGGTCTTAAAAATGTAATGATACTAAAAGAGGCCATTAGGATGGGTCCTCATCTTATATGACTGGTGTCTATATAAGAAGAAGGAATACACAAACAGAGACACTAGGAATGTACATTCACAGAGGAAAGACCATATGAGGACAGAGAGAGGTGCCTGTCAGCAAGCCAAGGAGTAAATCCATAGGAGAAACCATACTTCTCGACACATGGATCTCAACCTCTGGCCCATCCACTACAAGGATAGTGAGATACAGCAAAACACTCATGATACAGCTTCCACTTTTTTTAACCTGCTAGATGGTAAACCACTTGGAAAAAAGAGATAGTATTTTACTTATATGTTTCCTCATAGCGGGGTAGCATAACAAGAATTTTTTTCTGAAAATTAATGTACAAATAAACAAAAAGACTAAAGGACTTATGACAAAATAAAAATCACAAAAATGTCCTTTATATAATTCTTTGTCAAAGTTTTTCTACTATGTCTCTACAATATGTAATTTATAAGAACATGTAGTTGTAGTATTGAAACTATAAAGATTTGATTATTATTTTCTAATATAAACAAATAAACTATAAAAATTACAAACATGGAAATTCCTAAGCACTAACTAGGAAAAGGCAAACATTCTCCACGAGAATAATTTTTCTTGTGCATATCTGCATAAACTTTGGACACATAATATAAATATTAGGTAGTCCCTGCCACTTGCTGCTTGAAAATGTTGTTCCAAGTAGATACATGCAGATGTTTTGAATAGCACATATTTTCTACCCCTCTTAACTATTTATTTTGAATCAGGGAAATACACATTATTTATTGTTTTCTTTTATTCTTTAGGAAAAACCTACCGATGGAAACTATCCACCATTTTTAAATGGACACGAAGATCTTTTTTTGTTAGGTGATCTAACATTCTTGCATCCACCAAACATTCCATAAAGTAACTTCTGTATTGAGGTAACCCAAGGCTGGGAAGCCATTCATTTCCAATCCATTCATGGTTCATGTCTCCATACGCCAGAGTCTGTAGAAAAACCGGACACTAGAATTGTTTTATAGCAGTCAAGTTTCTCAACCAATAAAATGAGATGGTAATTGAAGGATGTGACTGACCCATTATTGTAACTGATATTTAATCGCTGTTATATATGTGATAAAAATTTATCCTGTATTTTATTTTTTTTTGGTATAAAATGGAACTCTGTATAGATGGCCCAAGTATTTGCCTATGAAAATAATCAGATGTTAATTTTGAATTCTGAAAAGTAATAGCATTTTTTCCAAACATGCATTTTGTTAGGAAAAAATTGTAAATAGAGGTATACTATGAGTTTTGAGCTTTAAGAGTACTTATTTTATTTATATCTGCCAGCCACTACTTTACCACTTCCCTCTTTCAAAGCTACTATTGCCATTGCTACAGTGTAATAGCAAATCTTGTGAAATAGGAACCTCAGAAAACAAACAAAGAAGAGCAATGAGGTTGGAAAGACAGGATTTTGAAGCTTTAATTCAATATTATTGTTCCCCAGCAGAGCATGAAGCCACCGTTCCATAAAGAATGTTGGAAACAATCAAAGGCTTTTCTAGAAATCAGTCAACACAGATTCTACTTAAAGAAGCGGGGCATGATCAAAAGTAAGACATAATCAAATTCTTTAACATAAAAATATGAACTGCTATTTCAAAATGTTGCTCATAACAGATAAATTGAAAAACAAATCAGCCATTACACCAAACCCATTTTTTAAAAAGGACTATTATTTTCTATTTATTTTTTATCATAGTGTAAATTCATGGCTTAATTATAACATGTATGTCTAGTGAAAAATCTATCTAGGTGCTTCCCCTTTTTCAAGAATGATGAAATTCTTATCAAGATCAAAATTTATTCTAGTATAACTATTACAAGTTTTTATACTCAAATGTTTGTGTCACATTGATTTATTCTTTCAGCTATTAAAGAAAATGTACAGCTTCCTTGCAAACATATGTGCTTATTCACACCATAGATGCCTGTCATGACCATCTTAGTAAAAGGAAGGGACTTGCCTCTGACTTGTACTTATAGTGCACTGACACCTGCCCTTCAGCCCCAAACCTCACTTTGCATGTTACCTTATAGCATATGGGACTCTGCATAATCTTTTGTAATTTTCCCTCTTACATTCAACTTGAATGATTCTTTTTTGGGGAGGGGTGCGGTACTGGGGTTTGAACTCAGGGCCTCATGCTTGCTAGATGGGCACTCTACCACTTGAGCCACTCTGCCTGCCCTTTGAATGATTCTTTATTAAGTATATTAAAGGGTGATTTCAGAGATATTTAAGTTGCAGATCATTCTTTATGGAAGAGAGAAAATTACCCTATTACATAGACCAGCTATGAAATGAAAACACTGTATTTGTCAAATAGTGTTTACAAAGATATCTATAATATTAAACATAATATCAACATAAGTGATATTCAATTATATTGTTATTTAATTATTGAAAAAAGTGTTGATTCTAAGTATTATAACTTAAAATGGTTTTCTAAATTATATCCTTATAGCCTACTAAATGAAGTTATCTTAAAGCATGTGAATTTCCTACCTGGGCCCAGCTTCCTTCCTCTGATTCTTTCTGTGTTAGCAGCAGGAAATGATTAATAAAGCAGGTAAGCATAAATTAATTTCAAGTGAATACATTAAAAAATTTTCTAGCAGAAGTACAATTCTTATACAAAATGTTAATTATCATGATCAAGTCAGATAGATACACAGACTTTTATTCTACTTCAAAATACTCAACTTCCCAAATTAAGAGCAACTACAGACAATAACAGTTTTAAATTAATTCTAATTTAAATATATATACATTGATGAATAGGATTTTCATGATTTTGTGAACATTTGATCTGGTCGTTACAATCTTATTTTAATTCTTAAAAGTATATCATTTTCCAAACTTAATGTGTTATAATAAAAACTTCTGATTGTATGTGTAGAAATATGCATACATGCATATATATGATAGAAACTAATGAAGCAAAAATGGTAACTGTGACTTTCTAGTAAAGCTTTGTGGTAATCAAATATAGTTCAATGTATAAAAACAAACAAAAAAGCAAGTACAACAAAACCAAACAAAATAAAATTCATATATGACATTTGCATTTTTATACTTTAAAAACTTCTAGACAACCAGTTTTTCCAGTAGGGATAAAACAGAACGAACTTGAAATTGAAAAAAAAAAGTTGCTGAAGATAAAATATATATGCCCAACTTTGTTACTTTACATGAATAATACCACTATGTATAGCATTATATTTTTAAAAGCTGCCAATTACACAGTCCCAGAGAAGTTATTTAAAACTGTGCCTTCATATGACAAATTAACATACCAGGTTTTTTTTGATCAAGTTCTGTGTCTGAGATTGTAAAGTACATGAAACTACATAATTATATTAAAAATGAGGATTCAATCTTAACTTTTCTATAAGTTTAACTTGGCTTAATAACATGTTTTACCTATGAATGTGCCTAATAATAAGTAATATTCATTAGCAAAAATTTCCAATGTTGCAAAATTAAAGATTTCACTAACTTCTTTATTATTGTTGTAAACTACAAACTTGCGATATTTACCTGATTATGGCAACCTAACATTGTTTTATTTAAAAAAGGCAAAAAAAGTCTAATAAAATAAAACTGTAACAAAAACATGTTAACTATCTTTGTATGTAAATAAGCACACCCCATTTCTCTGGTCTATAATAAACAAATCAGATTTTCTCATTCAAACAGCAGCAAAATAATTTTGTTCAGACTCAACAAAGCTATAAAGACTAACCGTTTTTGCTGGAGCTGCAAGATTTTCCATTTCTTCATGGGTCACCCAAACGTTGCCTGAAGGCTAGTGTGGAGCCCAGGGTTAGCAGTGGAATCCAGGGAGGTAAGCAGGATAAAGAGAAAGGCAGCACCTCTGTAAATCAGCAGCATTGCATCTCTCCCATTGCCCTGGCTTTACACACGCATGACACAGCATAGGTAGAAAGTTCAGCTCCTTTCCCTCCTACTCAAAGGATTCATGGACAGAGGCAAGCTGTGTTGCTCATAGGGTGTAGATTTAGAGTGATATTGCCATGTTATTAACCAGAAAAAGGACACGATCAAACTTTGCTTTTCAAAAGTATGTGGCTATCAGATGTACTTTTGTAATAATGATGACTAATTATAAAAGAATGTAACTTTGTTTTTCCTTTATGAAATGATCACACATGTACTTTGGTGGAAAGAGAAAATCAAGTGTCTATACAAAGCTGTAAGCACAATCATAACCTGTTTGAAAACCAGCATCAGTTTTTTTCAAATGATTTCTTCCTTTCTTGATTAAGTTAATACATTGTTTCCTGTGTTTTTAATTTATATATTCCCTATTCTTCTGCAGTAACTTTATCATTATGGGTTCTTGGTTTTTGTTCTTTTTTTCCTAGTACTGGAGATCAAACCCAGGGTCTTGTACATACCTGGCAAAAACTACCAGCAAGCTTTTCCTCCAGCCGCTAATACACCTTAGACAAGAAAATGGTGCAAAAGTCTGCACTCCAGTGTACCTTATTCTAGTATGAAGCCCTACTTGCTTTCCAAATAAAACAGCCCTTGATATTAGTTCTATATGCTGAAAAATCTGCAATTTCTAATACAAAATCCACTTAGCAACATAAACACAGCATATTGTTTAAATACTGTCCACTAGAAGGAACCACTTCCCTTCAAATTTTACAATTTCACTGGTAAAATTTTTAAGTCTATTTAATTAGCATATGTTAATTGTATAATGGGTTTCACTGTGATATTTTCATTCATGCATACAATGTACTTTGATCAAATTCACCCACTATTATTGTCCCTTCTTCCTTTTTTACAGTTTTTACTGGATTTCATTATGCTATTTTCATACATATATATAATGTATTTTGATCATATTCATATCCCCTCATCATTATCTCCCTTTCACTGGGAAATCTTAATGAACACAGCAAAGTTTTCCAGATGCAGAAATGAAATTTATATCCTGTATATTATTCGTTTCTTGTTTTGGAAAGATTTTGGTTTTGAAGTTCTGGAAGCAGCTAAGTTATGATGCTCAAATTAGCACTCTAGTTCACTCTAGCATTTTCCACCATTTAGATAATACCATGTTTGACTTTCTTCATATTATAAATAAGATTTTATATTATTTAAAACATAAATACATATAAACTAAATTGTTCACAATAATTTTTGTAGTGAAATTGTTAGCAAAGTTTATTAAGACAGAATCCACATTCAATAGACTGAAAGCAGGTCATCTCAGAAAGTCAGGTCAGGAATGATGGACACTATAATTTGATATAAGTGAAATCTTTTATAAGTGATATAAAGATGTGTATCATGTTTATTATTTACCTATGTATATCATGTATATATGACACACACATATATATAGATATGTATAAACACATACATTTAACAAAGGGAGCTGGACAGTAAAGATTCATAATTGTAAGTAAATTATAAAAATTCTCATTCTCTTGATGTTTTAGAATACAATTTTTTCCTTATAAGATTAATCTTTCCACACTTATAAAATATATATTGGAATAAAGAGTCTATCATGTCACTAGTAGAAACCCCTTTTATCTACACTCAGATTTTGCTCACTATAAACAGTTGTACAGGATAGAGGAGATATCAAATCATTTGAAATTGTTTTTATTGTCCTGGGAGGGATGTATCATATTAAAAACTGCCTTGCACTCTTATGTCCCATTCCCTTTACACTCACTGATCATGATGTTTTGCTAGAGTAAATATATTTTTATTCAAAGTCAGTTTCATTGATGACTATTTAGAAAAAAATGCATATAAGCCAGTGTTATTTGATACTGATTTCTGAGCAAATCGTCCTCTTCTACTTTGATTCTGAATCAAATTAATGAAGATCTCACTTCTTCTATTAGAAATATGACCAAATATTATCTCATATCAAAGTAGAAACTTGTGTTAATCTCTTTCACATGTTTTCTACCAGTATTCTTAGATTATTAAGATACTGGAGGTTATGGTTTTATCTGTATCTTTACTTGAAAAATGCACATATATCTAGATCAGTGTGCCAAATATGGGTGATGAACTTTCAGAAGTTGCAAGCTAGTTGTTGACCTTTGATGATCAGTTTTACTTATAAGGATTGTTTCCTTCCCCATAATCTTGTAAAGTAACCAACAAAATAGTTTCAATACAACCTGATGAAGTAGACATTAGTTGAGGTTTTAACAAGCTTATTTTATAAGAAAGCCCACATGTGGTAAGTGAATTGTTCACTTGGATTGCTTTCTTTCTACCTCCAGTTTGGAAGATGGGAGTTTTATCTAGGTATGTCATGAAGGAGTGATTTAAAGCATGAGAATTTCAGAGACTACTGTCCTTAGCAGAAGAGCTAGAGTGGGAGATTTAACCAAAGGACATAAGGACATAGTGCCTTGGGACCAAAGATAAAGAAAATACACAAACTGTGCTGAAAAAATATAAAGGGCAGCCATCATAGAATTTGGATATAGTCCTCTTGTTATGTTATACTACAACCTCCCAATGTCTCAGCCACAGAAAGCAATCAATAGTCATCCTCTGTGGCTAACATCATCAGCATCTAACAGATCATTTATAAAATTTCAGCCACAATTACCAAATTATAATGAGGCTTGAGTTATAACAATGACACTTTTCAATAACAACCCTAGTAAATTTTCCTAAACAGAGGACTAGGTCTAGGAAGAAAGGAAAGTGAAATTTCAGAAAATTAAATTTAAGGAAGCATTCACTTGCAGGAGTGTGCAAGTGCAAGGCTGTCACCTGACATTTTGTGCCTCCTTAAATTTTGTGCTTAATGTGTCTTATTTGCCTCTGCTTAGACCACTCTTAGTATTATCAAATGGGAACAGAGAGGTACATGCCTAAAGAATGTTAAGAATTCAAGTCGTTGTCTGTTTAAGTCATTCCAGAAAGAGATATGACAGAAAAATAAATAGTAAATGAGCTTAAGAAATAACTCATGAAAATTAAACGGGAAAATAATTAGTTCTCTTGCTGTCAGCGGTACAGGCTAATTAAATCAGCCAGACCTCAGAATAATTCTAGATATCACCTCATCTAGTAAGATTATCTGGGTCATTTCAAAGTACTTTTTAGTTTACAATTAAATTACAAAGTAAAGTAAGTTGAAATGCACTTTTTGTATTTAAATGGCTTAGATTCACATGTCTCCCCATCTGATTTTTGCTTTTCATTGGAAGATAAATCACTCTACTAATAATTTTGAGATTCATAATTAGATCTCATTTTACTTTCACTGCACTTATTTTTTTTTAATTACGGAAATTTAAATAAATACATAAAACAAAAAATAAAAGAAATTTTGCTTAGTGTGTGAACACTTGTTGAGTTTTTTTTTTTAAATAGACAAAAGTAAATTTTAAAACCCAGTATCTATGAGACATAACTTTGTCAGAGTCGTGGAGAAGTTATAAATGTCAGGAAGAATTCTGCATTCAAATGGTTTTTGAATTATCTTAAAGTTAACACTTAAAAAACTAAAAACCAACTAGAAAAAAAACAAAGATGTTTAGTTGATGAGACTACTAAAGAAAGACAGTGTGGAACTTCGGGATTAGAAATGTACTTGATGGAAAGTCCTAGATGCTTATGCTGGAGTATTCACAATTTACTTAAGATAAAGTACTTAAAGAATATGCATATTCTTTTTGACATCTCCTTTGAACTAAATTTTAATTAGCTGATGTCTCTGTCCTTATCCAGTTAAGGAAGAGGTCTTCTGCAGTTATAGTAGCTTTACAAAAACAAGTGGTACTGGGGTTTTGAACTCAGGTGCTAATACTTGCATTCTACCAAGGGTGTTATGTTGACACCCCAGTCTTCATATAGGGTCTAGCTCTTTTGCCCAGTCTTGCCTTGGACCCAGTCCCCCTACCTCTGCTTCACACATAGATGGGATGACAGGCATGCCCTCATCTAATCTAGAAATAATGAATTTCACCTTTAGATTTTCCATCTGGGGTTTAATCTATTTCCAGACAGCAAAGGAGGCAGAAGGTTCTAGTCATTAGAAACAAAACAAGACTAAACACTCCTAACTGTGCTGTCTTTCTCTCTTGAGGACTTGCAAATGAACAAAATACACTTGGGTAAGGACCCTAGTCTGAAACCTGAATATACAGAAAAATCCCTTTTATTATCCAAACCAATAGCCATGTTCTGAGATATAATAACTTTTCTTTAAAACTCTGTTTTTGTAACAACAGGTGTTGGCTAGGATGTGGGGAAAAAGGAACCCTCTTACACTGTTGGTGGGAATGTAAACCAGTACAACCACTCTGGAAAAAAATTTGGAGGCTACTTAAAAAGCTAAACATTGATCTACCATATAATCCAGCAATACCACTCTTGGGGATATACCCAAAAGAATGTGACACAGGTTACTCCAGAGGCACCTGCACACCCATGTTTATTGCAGCACTATTCACAATAACGAAGTTATGGAAACAGCCAAGATGCCCCACTACTGACGAATGGATTAAGAAAATGTGATATTAACACACAATGGAATTTTATGCAGCCATGAAGAAGAATGAAATGTTATCATTCACAGGTAAATGGATGGAACTGTAGAACATTATTCTGAGTGAGGTTAGCCTAGCCCAAAAGACCAAAAATCATATGTTCTCCCTCATATGCGGACATTAGATCAAGGGAAAACACAAGGGAATTGGACTTTGATCACATGATAAAAGCGAGAGCACACAAGGGAGGTATGAATATAGGTAAGACACCTAAAAAACTAGATAGCAT